TGTTTACGAAACAAACAATGATCATATGAATTGAGAGACATACCTTGATCAAGGGAATAAAAAATTACCTTGCCAAAACTTGTAACCCCTTCTCACTCATGTGTGCAAGCTTCTTGTGCCATAGGTTTGCTGAAGCATCATCCTCAATGATATTTATCTGGTTGCCATTCAATTGTATCCATATCTTATACATTGTCCAGCATAATTTTTTCCTTGCAACTATCATAGATTATTTGAAAAGTTTTCACTACCCATTCTTTTATCGACTATCATATCTTTCCTTGTCAAGGATATTAATAACAAGCAAGTTTATTCTTATATTTGAAATGTGTCTGACATCTCTCAAAGTCAACATGCAGCCTGTATTAGTTTGTACAATAATATCACAAATCCTAAAAATCTACGATACACTATTGTTTCCCATTTTAGTGTAACTAAAGCATCTTACTTTGTAAGTTGTAAACAACTCTCTCTAAAGAACACAATGATATGTCACTTCGGTATCAACTATCCATTCAATGCTAAGATTATCAATATGATTACAATCACCATATGTACAAATCAAAGTAACTGAATCACTATCTGAATTCATTACTCCAACATTACCATCATTTAAACTTTTGCTTTTCTTATCTTTTCACTCTTGCTTTAAGATTTTACAATGTCATTTTATATGATCTGCTTTACCACAATGAAAACACTTCACTTTATCTTTGGACTTGGATCTATGTTTAGACTTACTACGACCTTTTGAGTTTTGATCTTTGTTGATGTTTCTACCCTTGTTCTTTATGACCAGAGCTTGATTCCTAGGGTCCACATATTTTTGCCTTGCTTTTTCATTAAGCATCTTGTCCTTTATCATCTCCAATGTCATTTTGTAATCAAGAGCTAAATTAAAATAGTCACAACTAAAGTATTTCAGCTATCTGACAATTAATTTAAAAGAAATAATGCATTCATTTCATTATCCATCTTAAGCTCTATTGTAGTCATTCGATTAAATATATCTTGAAAATCACTCAAATGCTTTATAATAGATCATCTATCCCTATACTGTAAAGTTGCAAGCTTTTTAACAAGCATAACTTTATTCATACATATTTTTCTCTTATACAATGCTGTCAATTTTTCTCAAACAATGTGGGCATCTGCCTCCTGATTTATATGATGGAATACACTGATATCAACATATTTTCTGATTGTAGCCAGCATTTTTTTGCTTAACATCTTTTAGTTTTCATCTTTCATATTTGCTAGTTTAACCGAATAACCCGATACCGGCTCATACAAATCTTTGTAGTATAAATGATCTTCCATCATAGGCTTCAAAATTTATTAATTTGATGCTATCAATTTTATCATGGAACTTGTATCACCCTCCATGATCTCAAACAGAATTTACTTCTGTCTTGGACTGCTTCTATATTGATGTCTTAAAATAACTTTCTTTCTGATATCACTTGTTGGGCTTGAAGCAATAAACACAACAATGCAAAAGCAATATATCGTAATAAACCGATAGTAATAGAAAACAATTAATAATTAACAACGCAGAAAAAATAAAACATACCAGGATTTACATGAAAAATCCTTCAATATAGAGGAAAAAATCACGAATCACCAGAAAAATCTTCACTATCAAATAATATATATACAAAGTTCTTCTTTAACTAAAATTAGAGCTAATTAACAATTAGATAGACAATTGAAGAAATCTCACCAAATAGATGACTTAACAAATACACTATGAATTTATTTTTAGAGAGCTTCAAACCCGATTTTCATCATTCAGAATGTAGAACTCTGAATCATAAACCTGCTAATAAAGTTTTAGCTCAATCAGGCCATAAATTGACTTCCATTCAACCAACTCTCCCTTCTATTTTTTCTTTCTACTTTTTTTAACTTTTCTTCTTTGTTTTTCTAGTTTGCGACACCACCTTAAAATAACTATATTTTTTTATTAAGTAGTTAGGGTTCTATAAAAAAAAAAAAAATTAAGGTCTGTGTCTTTGATTAGTCCAAAATTAATTACATGAAGCTAGACCCATTTTCCTAACAATTTAGGCATGCATTTAAGCCTTCTTCTATGAGATAGCTTCAAAATGTCGACGTTTTCAAGCAAAATTAAGAACAGCTGCATCGATAACCAATGACCCCCTCTTCAGCAAAGTCAGATCATCGATCAGCCAGGTCAAGCCCCGAGTTCGTACCTACAATTGTCAGCTGGACTGATGATGCGTGTGCTAATTGCTATTCGTTCGTATCTTCTAGTGCATTATTTGTATAAATTGTTGGCATGATTTATTTAACTGATAACTTCCATCGTGAATATATGTACTACTAGTACATCCATATATATATAGTTTATACTTTATAGAAGATCGATCATTCTTCAGGATTCTGTTATCTGTATAAACAAAAATTCATACAAAAGGAGCTTGGTTTATTGAAGGAATACACAGGTCACAACGCAAACGAATCTGGCAATGCTGCCGGATGACACACAACACATGGCTTCCTTTAATTTCTCTTCTTTTCATCCACCTAACTCTGTGATGCCAAATTCAAAGAATTTCGCTTCTCGAGATTAATTGTTAGAGCATAGTCTCATTTTCATTTACTACCAACCCTTCATAACCCTCAACTATCCCCTACATTTCAATCTCCACTATATATATAAGGCAATACCATGCAAAGCTACTAACTCAAGGGAACAGCCATTCGTTAATATCAGGAGAGGGAGAGGGAGATGAGTAAGTCGTGTGCATTTTTTGTGCTTGTTTTGGTAGTTGTGCATGCAAGTCATGCACGGAATGTGCCTGGCGATGTTGGCCTCGATGGCCAGCAAACATTGATGCCTGATAGCCCAAAGGAGCAAACATTGCAAGCCAACGCACGAAAGGAAGATTTGCCAAAGGGTAATGGCATTGATGAAAAGAAGAGTTTTATTTATGGTGGAATTGGTGGCTTTGCTGGGATGGGCGGCTATGCTGGCGTGGCCAGCGGTCTGCATTTGGTTGGTGGACTCGGTGGGATTGGGAAATATGGTGGAATTGATGGTGCAGCTGGAATAGGTGGTTACAAAGGCATTGGTGCTGTAGGCGGTTTAAGTGTGGCGGTGGAGCAGGTGGATTTGGAGGTCTTGGTGGTGGTACAGCTGGTGCTGCTGTAAATGGACTTGGTGGTGCAACTGGCAGTGGCATTTTGCCATGTCCTTGATGTTTGGTAGGATGTTTTCTGATGTCTAAATTTCTCCAGCATTCCTAATTGCTTTCTTCCTTAATTAGACATTGTTGTCAGATGTTAATATCCATGTCTAGTTTTTTCCGTAGTGGTTTCTTTGGGAGACAACAGGGTGGTTGTTACTCGTACCTGTTGCAGTACTGTTTATCCCTGCAGCTTTCGTCAATGCATGATATGTAATTGTATCTCTCTATCTGTCCGGGAAATTTTGGGAATTAACCCGGAATTTAACTCGATTACTTTTAAAATTGATATTTGTATGTACTTAATTTTATTGGAAACAATTCGATCCAATAATAAAAAATTTTCAATTAACTTTTAAGAAAAAATCCACTTTGCAACGAGCTTTTTCAATTCTTTGGTCCCTAATAAAATGAGAGTCGATTTACATGGAGGAAAACACAAGCAAAAAATTACTCCCTTCCACTGCCATTCTCACACAAAAAAATCCAGACTTCCCACCACCATCGAATAACCATCACCAACAACCAACAATACGAGCAAAAATAATTCACAAAAACCCACTCTTGCTTCCAGTCAAGACCCCATACCCGAACCCTATCAGCAATACACCAAATTGTCATAACCCATCACCATTAAACAGCCACCACAAACATAAAAATATGAGTTGTCCCAATAAAGGTTGTGCAAGTGTTTAAGGTTTAGGACCTGATTGTAAAGCATTTGGATTCGAATCCTATGGTCTCCTATTGGTAAGTGATTTATAAATTTGAAAAGTCTCAAAAGATCCGTAAATCTTACTTGTAGCTTGACGGTGTACTCTCACCTTGGAGATAGAGTAAGCTCTCTAACTCTTAAACTTTTTTCGATCCAAAAAGATATGAGTTGACCGTATTGATTTAACTCTTAATAAGTATAAGTCGCACTAGCACAACTCATATTATAAGTGAACTACATTGGTATGACTCCAAATTGCATCATTGAATTCTATTGGATTAATTTAATTTGTTTATTTTAAGAATGGCAACTGAATATTTGTTATTTTTATATATTTGTATCCAAGTTTATTTAAGATTATAATATTTAAATTCATTTAAATATCTGTTTAAGTTTAATATTATTATTCAAATTTGAATCTGTTTAAATAAGTATTATCTATTTAAATATTCGAATTCGTTAAAATATCAATTTATTTAAATTTTTGATGAAAACATAAAATAAACAAAAAATTAATTTAAATTTTAAGTTCACTTTTAATTAATAATAAATAAAAAATATTTTTTAAAATTTAAAATATTTTACAAATATATAATTTTATATATTTTACATATATAAACAAGTAATGGATTTGGTTATGGATATCCATTATTATTTATTAAAATTTAAACGAATTTAAATATTAAATATTTAAGGGATATTATTTATATCAACTCTGAATACGTCAAATATAATAAAATTTTTTTTTTCAAATCCGTTAATTATCCATTTATAATTATCCGAATCCAATATAAATTAATCGAATAATAACAAACATCTATTTATTTACTATCCATCACCGTCTTTGATTTATTTTGTCACTTTTAATTATACGTGACTTTATTTCGGTCATATCAATTTTCAAATAACAAAAATATTAAAATACATAAACTTTAGGCAAATCATGAAATACACAAATTTTTAAGGGGCGAAGCCTAAATTACTATTTTCCTCACTAAGGGCGGGAAACTTGAAACAAGTAAAAATAAAAAGAGGGATAAATCGAAAATCCAAACAGTCCTCAAAACCTGGAAAAAAAAAAAAAAAACACAGAGAGAGGTAGAGATGGAGAGCTCGAGTTCGAGCAGCGAGCTACAGAAGCTTGTAGAAGCCATAAAAATTTCAGAGGTAAGCTTTTTAAAAATTTTTTTTTTTTCTAAATCTACCTTCCATTTCATTACCTTTCCATTTTTTTAGTTTAGTAATTCAAGAGCTTAGCTATGGTTAAGTATGTGAGGAAAAAAAAATTTATTATCCTGCAATCGTTCTCTGTCTTTCTTGCTGTTATGGAAATAGTAATGTTCTGTTTGGTTCCTGAGAAATTGTTAAATGAGAATTTTAAATATCGTACATTGCAGGTGATTGAAGGCCGAGCTGAACTGATTGCCAAATTGGCAGATTTACGTTTTTCTGAGCAATCTGATGTGAAATCTCTTGTTGAATCCCTAATTGTATCCATTTTATTGCTGTTTTCTTATAATTAGTTTTTTTTTCTAATTTTTGTTACATAATTTGATTTTTGGCAAAAGGGTAAAAAAAGCACCTAAACTAAAATTCGATAATCATCCAATCTCTTATTATTATTATTATTATTTTTTTTTTTGCAATCAATTAAACCTTCAAACATCTATTTGCATCAATTGAGTCTATATTAGGGAAAAAAATAGTTAACTGTTTCTGTTCAATTGAGGATTTAATTGAGTGAAAATAGATGTATAAGAATTCAATTGGGTGAAAATAAATGTTTAGGGGTTCAATTGATTCAAAATAGAAGGTTCGGGGATAGATTGATCTCAATAAAATATTAGGAGCTTAAATGATTATTAAATTTTTGTGTGAGGACTTTTTTGGCCCTTATGCCTTTATTTTTCTATTTCAATCATGCAAAATTTTCCCCAAATATTTACATTTGCAGATGAAGAATTTCTGGCAAGGATTTTAAGCTTACGCGATTTTGATAGATTTCTTCTTGAATAAGATTTGGTTGTCTCCTTGGCTTGGCATGTTATTTTCTTTCCTTGACAAGAGAATGGACATTTTGGGAAGATTATACTTGCTTGGATGTTTCACAGTGCATGTTAAACAAGGCTGTTTTGAATGTGGCTGCAAAACATCTTGATTCAGATATTTCCGGATGTTTATTACAGTTTCTTTTACTTGGAACAAAGGTATGTTTCTTTCAATTTGCTTTATATGTTAGAATTCTCATTTCTCACTTTGCTTGCTTGAATGAGACTCAATGCCAGTTTCTTTATGTGTGTTTTAGGCAAGCATATGGTGTGGGAAACATCTCAAAATGACTGCTATGTCAACTGAGGAATCTCCAGAAGAAGAACATTGCAGCTTCTTTTACCAGGTACATGATCCTTGATAGTTTGAGGCATCATTCTCTTGTGAAGAAAAGTTGTTAGTTGTCACCGCATTTTTTTCCTCTTGATAAAATAAACAAGGGCTCATCTTTGCAAATATGCTAGTATGACTCTGTCATTTGTTTTTTTTCCTATCTTCTACCAGTAACTTTTTATTTTCAAATTTTGTTGGTCTTGAGATGATTACTTGCATGGGAGTGTCTGAGATTTTTATTATTGTTGATTACTTCCTGAATTCAAATCAATTATGCTATATTCTTCTTATTTCATGTTGAAGGCAGGCTTGGTGATTTATGATTTGATTTAAATGTTACCCAACATGAAGTTGAGCATAGGTTCTGCTTATATTGTATAATTAACTATGCATTGCGTGCCTGAATCTGATGGTGTAGTAATGTCAAGCTACAGTTAAGGTAACTCTTTTCTTTGTTTCCTTGCTTGAAAGCAGTCAGCCCAAGGTAGAGTGTGAATATCATAATGATGCATTAGAAAATGCTTTGAGGTACCTAAGGGTTACTCCTATTTGAGCATGCATATCATGCTAAACTACTTCATTTACACTTCTTGACTCTAAATCCCTGTTGCTTGAGAGTTAAAGATTTCTCTCTTTCCATGACAAATATTATCCCCTTTTAGAGGAAAATTTTAAGAGTTTTGCATTTGGTGTTGACTGTTGAGAAACTTGTGTTGGTCTTCTAATATGAAATGCTTGCATTTTCTTAGATTCTGAAACTCTGTAGTCATCTTTCCTGGGTATGATACTATCTTATAAATTTTCTGTCATTGACTTTGTAAACTTAATTTTGCAGCTGCTACTGGATTTTTTGCGCTTCTCTGCTTCTAGCTTTTCATCTATGACAAGATACTCAATTGTGACTGATAAGGCATCAATGGAGATTGTTGAAAAATTCATTCTAGAACAGTTGAATCTAACAAAAGATGCAATATCTGAAATTAAGGTACCTAATTCTTGCTTTTCTTTTTTTTTTTTTTCATTAATTATCATGGGGTGTTCACATAGGGGAGTTGAGCTGCTTTATCATCTTAAAAGTTTGTTAGCACTGAAGCATGCATTATTGGATACTAGAATTTGCTGCATATACGGCAAGTAGCTAGGTGTCAATTGCACAACCTTCAGTTTAGACTTTAGATTAAAAAAACCATTGTTGAATACAAAATGTCAGGCTTTGGGAAAAGAATCAGAGTTAATTATCAGATGTGCCTACTTTGAGATTGAACTTTAGGCTTTTGCATTAGTGGTCTCAATATGTGAATATGTAGCTTAAATGTGGTTAATGTGGTTCACTTGATAAATGTAGGGAGATTTCTGGAAATAAGAAAAGTGGCTTGTTTAACTGTTTCCAATCTCTTTCTACTTTAGTTATAAATCTGACAAAGAATAGTCCAATGTTGTCTCCGATCTCTGTCCTTTCCTTAACAAAGTTTATAAACATACATTCAGAGAATCAAGCTCAAGGTGGGGTTGAAATTTTATTTAAGATGTCTTTCAATTTTGTAAGTTAACCTGAATTTTTACCTCTTTACTAGTCAATTGGTTAAGCTTCAGCACTTCCTCTCTTTGTTTAAGATGGCAAATTTCAACAACTGCAATTTCTCTCCTTCATATTGTTGTCTCTCAATCTCTCAATATAGATCATATGTTTTCTTTCTAAATTTGTGGAAATGGTATTGGTACAATTCAATTAAATATCAAAACATGTAGCATGGAGCTATTTCATATCTGAAAGCATATTTTATGAAGAAATTGAATTTGCTTTCTATCTGTGCTTTCTGTTATCTGAAGAATCTAGTTGGCATCATCTGCTGCTGAAGTTTTGAAAATTTTTCAAACAGAATATTGACTCAATTGGTGCAGAGGTTTTAAAGACTGCACAAGCAGTCATTGATGCTGTCATAAGACTCTGCAAGGAGTATTCACAAGTAATTAATTGGGAGTTTTCTGGTGCAGAACCTGACAATAATGAGAATGGTATGGACTGTGAACAGGCATGTATTAAGAATCATTTTATGAACATAACAACAGTTACAGTAGAAAAGTTGTTTGAATTGGGCATTCTTGCTGCAAATGATGGTGGAAGTCTCGTAGCCATTCTTAATGTGTCATGGAAAGGTTTGGTTACCTTGCTTCAGCTAGCCAAGGGCAAATTGCCAGTAAAAGTGAAAGTAGCGGATATCATTGTGACTTTAATTTCACTCATCAATGGTTCTCTGAAATGTGCAGCTGAGGCTTGGTCTTCTTCTCAAAAGGAGACTGTTTCCATAAATGAAGCTAGAAGGATATTTGTTCCAATAAAGTTTTACCTGATTAATGCAGTAAAATTAGCTTCCCTATATCCGTGCCAGGCATATCTGGTTTATAGAGACTTAGCACTCTGTGTCTTGACGATCTCAACCTTTAAGTTGTTAGTGAGCCATGAAAAGCTATTGAAAAATGTCAGCGAAGTGATGGCTGAACTTTTGGAAAAAACATCCTTGGATTTGCTTAGTTCTTTGCTAAATTCAAATGATGTGAAGCAGGAATTCAAATATGAACTTCTAGATTGGTTATTCTTTGACGACTGCAGGTCAGATGCTGTTAATGAAAATCCAGTTAGTAAACGTAGCATGACTTCAATGGATGAGATCTTTTCAGTGAGTTATGAAGCTATGCCTAGGTCAAGAGTATTGTTGCTTGGTCAAGTGGCACTTTTTTCCAGTTTTCTGAGATACTCCTTTGATTTTGAGGAAGATGTAAAACTTATGATAGCTAGAAAACTTGGTTGGTTTATGAATTTAATAATTGATGAAGACATTTATTCTTCCATTCTTGTTTCGCAGATTCCGGTATTGTATGTTTCAGGAAAAACTGTTGAATTAATTTGGGGGCCCATGTTTTCAATTCTTTTGCATGCCTTAAAAACCTTCATGATAGTGGTATCTTCAACTTTAGCTTGGGAGGAGTTAGGGTCTTTCCTGGTTAAGAATTTCTTTCATCCTCATTTCCTTTGCTCAGAAATCATGATGGAACTTTGGTGCTTTTTGGTTCGGCATGCTGAGATGGAGTTGGTGAATGGCTTCATTGTTGAGCTATGTGCATTAATGAAATTAGTAGCATCTCCAGAATCAGTTTTTGTTCCAGCTTCTAATCTCAGAAAAATGGCGAGATCAATCTGCATGTTTCTCTCATTCAGCACCACATCAGTGGTGGATTGTGTTTACAATTCTGTGGTGGGCAACGATAGATCTCAGTTATCATCAATTTTATATGCAGCCTTGCTTTTGGAAGGCTTTCCACTGAGCAAGCTATCACAAAAAATGACAAGTATTGCTAAAGAAAAAATCATTTCTGATTATTTTGATTTCATTAATAGTTTTGATGACAAATCATTGACTGTCTCCTCTTCTGAATATGGGGCTCCAGTTTTTGCGCTATCTGCTTCATTGCAGTCACAGTAAGTGTCGGCACTCTGTTTATTCAGTAATGATTTGCTAACTGTTTTATTCAAATTGAAAATAGAAGTGGCAATATTTTTTAGAAGTTTCTAATTATTTTCCTGCAAACTGAATAAAAGCACATATTTCACTGTACGTGCAAGTACTCTGATTTTCTCAGATAAAGAATTCTATGTCCACTCATTTGATGTGCTTTGCTTGCATGTTAATGTAGTCTTCTTTCATTTCTCCCATAAAGATCTGTCCAAAATGTTTTCTTCTAACAACCTTTTGATTCTATTTTTGACATATCAAATTGATTCATGAGTTACAATACTGAATGAAAATACTATTTCATGCAGCCAGGTTACCATGTCTGACATTGACATGAAGACCTTGAAGTTCCTAGTTGCTATTGTTTGTGGTTATAGGAATTCTGTGGACAAATTCAAGAAGGAATTTTGTTGTAAGCTTTTGAGTCAAACATTAGGGATTGTCTCAAATTTGAGTCACCTATATGCAGCTAAAGAAATGGAGGAGGTCATCTTGGAGCTTCACGATCTGTTTGTTTCAGGGCCAGCAGCTTCAGATACTCTGTTGCATCAATGCAAACCTGGATTGGCACTTTTCTTGGCTGGACTTAGTAACATGGGGATGTCGGAAAGTGATGATTGTGCTAAAAGCTCTGCTGTGTGGGAGTTGTATCACATGCTTTTGAGAGAGCGACACTGGGCATTTGTTCATCTAAGCATTGCAGCTTTTGGATATTTTGCTGCTCGTACTAATTGCAATCAGCTATGGAGATTTGTGCCCCGAGATGCAGCCCTTTCATACGATCTAGTGACAGGAAATGAGGCGAATGAAGAAAGATTTATGTCTGAGTTTAAGGCTTTTCTTGAGAAAGAAATGGCTCTTCCTGCTGTTATAAACAGCTCCGAGCAACAGGGGCTACTTCTTGAGGAAGGCTTTGCTCTAAAAGAAAAGGTTCGGAAGGTCTCAAATGTCAATACAGATGTTGCAAGATGTGATATCATGGAGATTGATGATGAAAACCAATCAATCAAGAGAAGGAAACTTCCTGATGGAATTAAAAAGGGAGTGGAACTATTGCATGATGGCTTGAAAATTATCAGTGACAGTCTTACCCAGTGGCAACCAAATCACATAGAGTCAGCTGAACTTCATGACAAGTTCTTGACTCACTTTTCTAGCCTTGAAAATGTGATTTCAAACTTGCTTGTTCTTAGTGGCAGTGATTAAGTCATTATTTAAGGCCTTTGCATGCATCGGTATTGTGATCACAGGACTTGACGAGTATTGGGTTGCTGAATTCATATTGTATAGGAAGCATAGCAGCGAATGGATGTGACATTGTGACTGAAATGAGTTATAAACAGGTAAAAATGTTACCTTCTCATCAAATTACTCCTATGCTTCAGCAATTTTAATCTTGCCAGGGATGGTTCCATTTATCAGATGTTGTAAGACATTTATGTATGAAGCTGGTTCTCTAACCTAAATCGTAAACGTAATCATGTTAGACACAATGAAATTTGTGGTGAAATGATAATATTCCTTTTCTTTATGCTATGTTTTGCAATCTATTTATAGGAGTTCCTTTTCATTGACTTATTTATTTATATTTTCTTGCTGGAGTTGTGTTTTTTCTGTCTATTTTCCATAAGAAATGGTACTGATTTCTAAAATTCAATGATTTTTTTATGATAGCTTAACTGTTTAAGTTCTTTGGTAGTTGGTTGTGTCGAGGATTTGAGGATGTGTTTAGTCCAGCCTATACTGGAATATTTGATTCTCTTAGCATCATATGTGTTAGAAGCAAGACATTGAAAACCTTTGGTGTTTTTTTTTTTTCAATGTTTAATGGAACTGTCTAGAGACGACAATGGGTTATGTTGGGTGTATTTTTGTTCATCCTGAATTCGATTTGATTTTATAGTAGTAATATTCGAACTTAACCTAATAATAAAATAATATTTTTAATATTTGATCCTTTAAACTCGTAATTAATTCGATTTAATTTAAAATTAATCAAACATTAATTTTTAAATATAAATATAAAATTAAATATACATAAAATATATAAAATTAAATAAATAATAAAAAATAATATATTTATTGAATTAAGTCGGTATAAGTTTACATAAAATTCAATTCGATTTAACATGAAACTTGATTTTCAAAAAAAAAAAAAACAACCTTTTAGGATTGGGTTGGATAGAACTAGATAAATACGAATTAAATTATTAATTTTAAAATTGTCTCGTGATCATACATAAAAACAAAAATGTTAGGACAGTCTTGATTTAACTTATTGTTGAGTGGTAAACTTCCCTGTCATAGTTAAACTATTGAACAACATGATTGGAGATGTGCTTGCCAAAAAATCAATGTCTAAATCATCAATTCCGGGTCTATGATTTCTCTGAGTAGCATTATCAATCCTCGTGATTCTGCCGTTAAAGATGGAAACAATACACATGGAATTTCTTGTGTGGGCTTGAATGTACCAATAGTTCGAATTGATACAGAAACAAATAAGATAAAGTCGACATTTATCATGATATTCTTACAAAAAACAAGTGTGGTCCAATGTTTTTTACTGAGGAAAGTCAATTACTATAAAGTTGATTAATCCAATAATTTGTTCCCAATCGTAAACTGAAGCCTACATAATTATGGGTACAGAATGTGTTTTATTTGTGGATTTTCTTACTGTGTTTTGCATGGACAAACAAAAGTTGAAGTTGGAACACTTGAAAATTATAGAAAGTCAATGGTTGTTTCAAGCGATGTTGTTTAGGTTTGAATTTTTTTATAAGATTGTAAGAAGGTAATTTTTTATGAATTCGCTAAATCCAACGTAAATAAGTCTATTTGGATCAAATCGAAAAAGGGATGTATTGGACAAAACCGAAGAATCCCTTACAGCTTATAAAAAAAAATAGAAAGTTGATGTTTCTCTTTTTTTTGCAAAGACAGAAAGTTTATGTTGCAGTGTCGTTGGCAACGCTAAATGCTAATTATGACAACTTCTCAACGTTGTTTGTCTTCAAAGTTCTCTTAAATCTCAGTTGGCTTGCACCCACAGCAAGTACATATATATGTTTGAAGAATTGCAAATTGCAAGGAGTGGTTGTTTTAGATATATAAGCCCGATTTGGCTTGTCCATTCAGGTAACCACTTGACCTTAATTTAATAGATTTTTTTTCCAAGCCCCATTAATACACCTTTCTGTCATGGGGCATCATGTAAGAAGATTACATAATTAGCATGATAATACTTGGATAAGTGTCTTTCAATTATGATTTTATTATTCTGCGACTGCATCATGTTTCACAAATCATTGAAAATATCATGGTGCAAAAAGAAAGCCGCAGTCTAAGGATAGGAAAAAGGTCGTAAATGTTGAATTCAAATCCCAAACCTATCGGATGGTGTCCGTTAAAATAACTACAGGAATTAATTGAGTTAAGATCCAGATTCGACTTCTGTGATTTTTTGGATGCTACCTAAGTTATGTGCAACAAAGTGCAGAAAATAACACTGTTGTAGACAAGGTGCACAATGAAAATGAGGACAACACGCAAGGGAAAAGATAATTTTTATTTTGTGCAAAGCTTTCGGAGACAGTACCCTAAAAGAAAATCTAGAACATTAATATAAAGTCATGTAATATAGGGTGGTCCTCTTGTGCGTTGGTGATATTCTGATATGACAACTCGCTCACGTGGCATTTTGTCGTGACTCAAATTTTGGTTTTTTTGATATGCCAAGGTTGCAGCAAAAGCAATAAATCAAAGGTTACCTGATTCTGTGCTGGCATTGATTAAATGTTATATATATCTGCAGGACTTACCATAGAAAGTGCATCTTAGATTGGTAAAGGACTAAAACTTCCTTTATAGGCTTGCTAGTTAATGAGGATTCCAATTATGGCTCTTATTGCCTTAGAATTTAGGTGGTTGTTGTGTAAGAAGAGGCTGCAGCATCATTATTTGCCAAACATGAAGATTTCCACAAGTGTTCTGCTCATGTTTTGTATTGCTTTAGTCATCATCTTCATGTCTGTATATCAACCGGAACACTTTTTCGGCATGGAGTATGAAGTTCGTGTGATCAATGGCTTCTCCAACAACTCATCGCTGCCCTTAGTGATCTGGTGCATATCAAAGCAGGATGGAGATATGGGCGGGCGTGCCCTCCAGGAAGGTGACGATTTCGGATGGAGGCTCAAGACCAATATCTGGGGCAACTCTCATTACTTGTGTACCATGAAATGGGATGCCAAGAGGAGGAGCTTCGATGCGTTTAAGGTTTCTAGAGACAGTCAGAGGTGTGCTCCTCTTAGGAAATGCTCCTGGCTGGTGAAAGAGGATGGATTCTACTTCAGCAATGATGAAATCAACTGGAAGAAAGACTTCTCCTGGTATTGATTTGCATGGCAGCCTATGCCTTTCTCTGCAGCTAAAGCTTAGCGGTATTAATGATAAAAACAAATGAGCAGAACAGTTTTGTCCGTTGAAATCTGAACGGTAAACTTGGCCTTGAGACAAACAAAAAAGAAAAAAAAAAAGGAAAATCAGATCCAATTTTCAGGTATGCATTTGCCTTATGAAATTATACTAGTTTACTTAGTTTTAGTTATAAAAGTCATTGAAAGTTAAAAACAAAGATCATTTTCCTCAGAATCTTTGTAGTGATGTGTTGTACTTTGGTTGTATTAACTTTCTTATTGGTTTCTTTTGGGGCATGAAACTCCACAGCACATTAAAATATAAGAATACAACAAAAGGTTAAAGAAGAATATAATCTTGGTCCGTCCATGGTGATTAACAACCAGTCTTATCAACTATTAAGTGGAAAGAAAGTAGTATTGTAAGACAAAATAATGACTAAAAGAATAATAATGAACCTTATCTTTGAATTTATGCCAGTGTATCAATCATAAGTAGTGGAATAAAATAAGAAAAATAAAAGTTTTGATGGTGTTTTTAGTATGGTGATTAGGTGTTTGCTGAAAACTGCTTTGGTAATTGACTTGGAGGCTAGAATGATCTACAAAGAAAGAATGGTTAGAGATGTGTTTCGACACTCAAGTCAATAAAACATAATAGGTGAGAAAAAGAGAGGAAGAGGAGATAGGGAGTAGATAAAGTAAGTAGAAGATTCCGAATGAGGTGTTTGTGTCTCAACCTTACTTTTTATAAAATAAATTGCTACTAATATGATCAGTTGACTTATCTAATGTTGATTAAGTATCGATCTAATTGAGTTAGTTGTCATCTTGATGGTCAATAGATGTTAGCCTACATAATTATTGATAGGCAATCAAGGTAAAACAAAAAGTAATAGAGATTAGTATAAACCAGCGTCAATTAAACTGCATGCCCAGATGACCAATAAAATTTTTGGTGAAGTAGATCTTGAGCTTGACAGAGAATCATGAAAGAGAAAAATTGCCCAAAGATCATAGGAAAGGGATTGTATATTATACTGCAAAGCAACCTTTGTCTGGTAATAAAACTTAACCCTATTTTGAACCCAATATTGTACAATTTTCACGAACCTTTTTCTTTGAATATTGAAGATTGAAATTTATTTGGCATGCACCAAATTGCAGTGTTGAATTAGATCTAGGCTAGTTTGTGACAATGAATTGTGGATATAACAGTGGTATTCTTATCAAGAACCTAGAGATATAGGCATATTTAAAAAAAACTGAAAAGGATTATTTTCGGATTTTAACGATTATATAAATTAATTGAGTTAAATTTCAAATTTAAAAAAAAATTATTTTTGATGGTGCAAAATGTTTGATGCTGTAACTCTTGTACGTGGGTGATGACAGTTTTCATCTATTCTAATTTCTCATGTAATGGCTAGATTTAAACCTAAAAATGAACCTTAGATAAATACAAGCATATTGAAAAAAAAAATCCGAACATTATGGAAAGCAATTTAGATATAGACATTCTGAAATTTACTTCAAACAATAAGCAATTAATAAAATTATAATGTTAAAAAAAAAAAGACAACATTAGATTGCATATATATATGTAGCCCCAAAGTTGATCCTAAATGCTTATTATAAGCATCAAATCATGATTGACAAGTCTTTAAAACGCATGCTCTAGTGAACTCTTTTATGGATAAGGGAATCTATTGGCTTGAAAAGATCATATTGAAATTTTGATTGTCTTCATGCTGAAAAAGAGAAAATAACTTTTTTTTGGTAATACTGTTAGAGATATCTCTAAGGTTTTTGTTTAGATTAATTTAATTATTTTTTTCTTTTGAAGATTTTAGAGGCACATTTCATTGTATTGATTTAATACATTAAATTTTTTTTTTCGAATTATTCGCTATAAGAATCGATGGTGGAGATTTTAATTTCATAAAAAGATTTATTTCAAGTCATCTAATAATTATGTTAATTTAATTATTTTCTTAATTATAATTTAATTAACATGTGACAACGCTATAAACTTTTTTTTTTAAATTAAAAATTTTATTATCAATTTTTTAAAAAAAAATAAAAGTTATTAGTTTAATATGATGGTATTATTATGAAGTGCTTATAAGTTTTCTCTATAAACGTTTAAAACTTTAGAATTGAGTTCTAGATAAGTCCTTAATAATATGGGCAAAGAATACTCTAGTGGAGTAGTGGCAGTCAATTGATTAAGTCACCATTCAAGTAGCACTGATGACGATTTATCACACAATGTCACCCATTTCTTGCCCTTCTGGATTGCATCCAATCTTTAAGAAGCTACAGCAATACCCAAATTCCAACAGGGAAATCCCTTTCATACCTTTATCTCATCAACTCAATTTACTATCAACAATGGATCTAGAATTTTTCTTTGGGGTGTTTATTTACAATATATATTAAAAACTATTGACAGATTTATTAATTTTATCGATAAAAAAATATTCAAAATAAAATTTTAAAATATTTAGAGAAATTTTTTTTTCTGATTTTCTAATTTTTTAATTTTTGGGACTCATTTTGATCCGACTCTGTGCAATTTACATCAAAGAAAAAGAGGAAACAATTAATGGATATATATATATATATATATATATATATGTGCCCCTTCAAAGATGGAGACAAACCATAAATAGCACGATGGCAGCAGTCTCTTTCTGTTTCCATAAACCAAAAATGGTGGATAAATTTCCTTTTCATTTTCCCTGTTTGTTCCCTATGTTTTCAGAGAAAAATAATTCCTTTTTTTTTTTTTAATAATGAACAGTTTTCTTTCTCTGGCAAGTATATGAAATGAAGTGTCTCATTGTTCTTTAAATCAACAAAAAAATATAAAGAAAAATCCTTAAATATTGAACCTGTGACTTAAATTAAATTGTTCATCCATCTTATTTAAGTGGTGAATTCATGCAAGTTTGAGATTCGATCATCGACACTCGTAATTTTGTCTTCTCTTTAAATCCCCCTAAGTTTCAATCTTTTTTTTTTTTTACAAAAAAATCCCTTAAATATTAGTAATTATTTGTAGTTTCTTAAACAAAAGTTATGAATATCAAAGATTAAATTGTTAAGGGAATTATGATCACTTGATAAATATTTAGGGATAAAGGGTAAAGTTAGGAATATCAAAGACTAAATTTTGCATTATATATGTGCAAATGTGAGCACATAAATCTCTTTTTTTTTTTTTTTCATCTTAAATTATTTTATTGATAGTTCAATGTCTCCATTTAATTAAGATTCACGGACAAATTTGCTAAACTAAAGACTGCAAATAATAGAAAATTAAAAGAAAACATCAAAAAAAATTTTTTAAGTCTCTATATATAGTATTGTGATTTGTAAAATTTTGCGCCACCTTTCATAAGCTAATGTCTATGAAGGCATGCTGAGGGAAGGTGTCATCATATATCTAATACTTGGTTGGTCACTTCATTTTTTGAACTGTTTTTCGTACCATTTGAGCTTGATATAATGCTATAATGGTTTACAATTATAATACAAGGCTAGCCAGTTGCCTCTCAATGTGTTGCACATGATGACCTATGAATCAAGTACTCTTCACTATCATATATATATTTTTGGAGAGATTCAAAAGTACTCAATATCTTCTTTGAATATATGATTTTTTTCCCCCTCCAAATATCATTTTCAATGAATATTTTGTACCCTCAATTATTGCCCAAAATTTCGGGCAATATCTGGCTCCCAGAATCTTCATCCTCAATGACAGATTGTTAGTAAATTGATGAATATCACCAAAAAATCTCCCAACAATTTGAGGTAATTAAAGACTTCATTGCATTGTCATGCATTTTTAATTTTTTGCATTGCATTAATTGAAAATTTTTTTTAATTTCTAGATTCATTTGAATACATTGGCATTACCAAGGTCAAGGAAGAAAAATTGAATCGTTTAAATCTTAAATGTAAAAAATCTTTAGATTAACAAATTTACTAAAATTATTTTACGGAAATTAATTTCCTGAAAATATTTTCTAGAAAATGTTTAATATTTTGGAAAAATAAAAATTTTTTATTATTTGAATGAATCAGTGAAAAATATTTTCTATTGTTTGATTTTTTTGAAAAATCAATTTTTTAAAATAATAGTGACATAATTATTAAAATATGACAAATCACTTTATTAAAATATATTAAAATTATTAATATTAAAAAATAATTATATCTTAATAGAAATATTTAAGTGGATCACCTTGACAAAGACCTTTGATAGTGAGAATTTTTGAGATGGCACATCATTAATAAGAATAATGGGAATAGAAACAGTAATAACACATTGCATGATCCCATGATGAAAACCCTAAGGGAACCTTTAATTTCTCATACTTTCTTTGCATATGATAGATCATTTTTTCTTGAAGCTTGCATGAATAATTTTAGAGCTTTCCTCCATATCCTTGAGAATCATTGTCGAGTGTTTATATATAAAGCTTGTCAAATTGTAGAAGTCCCAAAAATACTTCATTGGATTTGTAACAACTCATTCTTAAAGCTTGTAATGCTATGGTGGTAAAAATACTGACAACATTTAACAATTTAACACACAATATAGTAACACGACACGAATACAATATGGATAAAAAATACGATTTAAAATTTCAATAATAATTATATAAAAGTTTAATAAAATAAAAAAAAATAAATTTTATATTTTCGTATCGACACGAATTGTGACATGTAATTTTTGTGTAAAATACAATATGAATACACGAATTTTAATATTTTACATGACATAATACACAAATCGTCAGATCTAATATTTTATTCGGGGTTTAATTGAAATAATTTTTGAAATAATTGTCATAATATATCAATTCGAGGACTCAATCGCTAGACATAAAATTCAAAGAGTCACCACCAATATCTTTTATTAAAGTGTAATTGACCATCAAATTAAAATTACACTTTTTAAAGAAATCCTAAATTCAATTAAGACTTCATAAAAAGGATAAGTTTTGGTCTACATTATAAAGCTAAATTCGTAAGTACGGTTATGCGTGAAAAATATTATAACATCTCTATAGAGCCTATCCAAAGATAGTACCAATTAGCTTTATAAAATCCTAAAATGATCTTATTTGAATAGTCTTTTACTTATTACTTTATCATTTTTAT